GTGTGCCTTGGCAGTCTAATGCTAATAATGCTAATGCCAGCAAATACAATGGCGGCTTCACAAAACTTTACAGAGTTTTACGGGGCGTGGTTTGCAATTCGCCCAGCCAATCAGAAATTGGTACTTTTTTCTCCCCAGGAGAATACCACCTCTCTAGCAGGCACTAAAAATGGGGGTAAAAGTTCCCGGCAATAAGTACTCTTTTTGGTGTGAACGCAAAATAAGGGGTACTAACGGAACTAAACGGTAAAATACGGGGAAAAGTACTCTGGTGTGAACGCACCTAATGTGTTGTATTTTAGCAGCAGAACGACAGAAGGATTATGGTGATCACGTTAAAATCTCTTGAGTAATTGGAAGTCATCTCGTAACATGGCAATAAGGCTCAACAATATGTGTATTACTGGTCAAGCAGAAAGGCAAATCAAACTCTAACAAACTGGACTTAATAAATGATTGCTCTTCTCTGGTTTCCTCTGCTTCATATCCCATAAAAACACGTTTGATCTTGGAAGACTGCGACCTGGATTTTGTTTCCTTAACCAGGTATAAAGCCAAAATCCTCCTACAAACCAACACTCTGCCAGCTCAATCCCACACACACCGTACTCCCGCTCGCTTTGTTTCTCTATCTAAGATTACACAGAGGACACACACACAATTCTACAAAGAGGAAGTCCTCCTAATGTGGGCTATTTTGTGTGTGAGCTGGAAACTGACAGGCGGTCAGTGCTAATTACAGCTCGGCAGCAGGAGGGGGAACGGCTCAGTGGTTTGTACTGATCTCTAATCTGTCATTGTGAATACAAGAGAGGCTCCCTGATGGGATACAGAAACAAACAAAAGCCTTCAAAAACCCCAATTATTGAAGCAGGCATGGTCACAGCGACCCGTTTCTGTGGGAATTACCCCCAACATTTGTCAACAATGCTCAATCTGTTTCTGGGCATGTTGGCGCTCACATTTCATTTCCAAAAAGGTTTGTTTACACAGAAATATGAAAGCAGAATATAGGAATATCTCTCTGTAGCACCGCTGGTTGTAATTGCTCACTAGCACAGAAGACACATGGGTATTTGGAAACACATAAGATGCCTACTTGTCTTTGCTATAAGGTTGAAGCGTAAAATGGTAATGTTTGGGAAGTGGTTAGCGTCCATATGGAAACATTTGACCTGGATTATACTCCCCAAATGGATTTTTTTATGTAGTTTTGCTGTTGCTACTCCCATTTACTTACATTTAGCATAACATAGGATACCTCTTCTATTCTGGCTCTATACTTGCTGGTTGTTATTGCTAGCTAGCACATCATTTCCCATATCTACTAAAGATATACAGAAAATCTGCAGAGAAACAGTGTCGTGGTTAGTTGGTGCCCCGTACGAACCACATTAGGCGCGTTCACACCGGAGTACTTTTCCCGTTTGGTTCCGTTAGTACCCCTTATTTTGCGTTCACACCAAAAAGAGTACTTAGTGCCGGGAATTTTTACCCCTATTTTTAGTGCCTGCTAGAGAGGTGGTACTCTCCTGGGGAGAAAAAAGTACCAACTTCTATTGGCTGGGCGAATTGCAAACCACGCCCCGTAAAACTCTGAAAA